AGGCGTAGGCGTAGGCGTAGGAGTAGTAGTAGTAGTAGTAGTAGTAGTAGTAGTAGTAGCAGTAGCAGTAGCAGTAGCAGTAGCAGTAGTAGTAGTAGTAGTAGTAGTAGTAGTAGTAGTAGATGATGTTCTTGCGGTACTAGCAGTAGTAGCAGTAGTCGTTGTTGTTGTTGTGGTAGGTGATGATGACGATGGTCATGGTGATGATTGCAAAATAATGGTCATGATGATGATGATGGCGAAGGCCACCAGCAACACGAATGTCTTTACAAGTCGCGCATGTTGCTGCCTGCCGAACCTTCCATTCTACGTCACCTGGCCCTTTCGAAACGAAGGCAGGCTTTGCGATTGAGACAAGCAAGGACTTCGACTGTGAAAGGGCAGGGCCAGGGTTCTACAAGCGAGGTGTTGAATCGGGCGTCTCGGTTTGGAACACTTAGAGTACTTACGACCCTGTCTAGCCGAAGTTGCCCGATCCTGCAGGCAAAGTCTCCAAAAAGCTTTGCTTCTAAGACGGAAGAACAGAGTACTGCAATCTACTGGTCCGGGAGTCTGCAGCAGTTCCACGTATTGTGGATACGGTTACCACTGTTAACACTACTGAAACAACCAGACTGCTGTTGTTTCATCAGGAACCCAAATCCAAAACACAAAAAATCACGGAACACTACAGCACCTCTATGACTCTAGAAATCGAAAACTCATCACAACCCCCCCTCACGCTATGCTCAGCCGTGCCTCTCAATCCCAAAGTGGCTGCTCAGATCGCTTCCCTCGAGCAAGCTCCGGCTCTCAAAACTGGAGAAGGGATGGGCGAAGCCTTCTTTTTAGGGTTTAGGGTTTAGGGTTTAGGGGTTACATGGGACATCAGGGATGTCTTTTGTCTGAACTCGATGGTTTAGGGTTTAGGGCTTCCTGGCATCTGCTTCAGGGTGAAGACGGTGAAGATGTCGGGTGGTAAGCAGCGCCCAAGATCCCTTCGACTCATGAAAGGCTCCAAATACCCACGCGCGCTTCGGGTCCTTTGGTATATACATCGACTATAACTATAACCCCTAAACCCTGAACCGTCTGAATAGCAAATCTCCGAGGTCTTGAGTGAATCGCTTAAGGGCGAGGAAGGGGCTGGCTTGGGGGGGCGGGACCCGTTTCGAGTCTTCCATGCTGCTCATGCACCTCCAGACGTCCCATAAACAAAGGAAACGCCTAAAAGGACTTTGCCTGGCCAAAACAGCCTCGAAACCCTGAACTTCTTGAAGCTGAGTCCTAAACCCTGGTTTGAATCTAAGCCCTGAACCCTGCCAGTCCTACCTTAGCAGAACACAGGCACGTGGACCCAACAGCAGAAATGAGACCCGAAACCTGAAACCCTAAACCCTAAATCCTAAACCCTAAACCCTAAAAACCCTAAACCCTAAACCCCAAGCCGCGTAGAGGCACTTGGAGCCTTGAAACTTTCGGCCGCAGGCAAAGGCCGGGTTCAAACGCGCCTGCGATGTCTATCCTGTCCCTAGGCCGCCAAACGCAGCACAGAATCAGAGCTCGCTTGCAGGATCAGGGGGTGACGTTGCTAAGGGATCATGGTCGAAAATAACGTGGGGGCCTGAGCAATTAGAATACGGTTTTGGGGTGTATTATACTATAACTATAGTAAGGACCCCCCCCCAAAAAAAAAACGTGTAGTTTATTAGATACACTTAAACTGACATATGCATCCCGCAAGGCACATGATGACAGACACCCCGGATTCCTCAAGCAAGCCTGACAATCCCAAAACTGCAGGGGGTGCAGGATGGACCCGCCTTCAGGTTTCGGGTCGGGTCCCTAAACCCCTAAATCCTATACCCAGAACCCTAAACAACCCTAAACCCTAGACTCCTAAACCCTGAACCCAAAACACTAAACCCTAAACCCAAAACACTAAGCCCTAAACCCTAGACCCCAAACCCTAAACCCTAAACCATATAGACCCCATGTAGAACCTTTATAGATTCCTACTAGCCGGAGACTCCGGGAGGTTCCGGTTTTTGAAATCCTTGGCTCTTCAGTTCCGGGAGGGGAAGCTCCGAAATCGGAGCCTGGAACCCCCAAAGGGTTTAGGGGTTTAGGGGTTTAGGGGTCTAGGGGTTTAGGGGTTTAGGGTTTACGGGTTTAGGGTTTACGGGTTTAGGGGTTTAGGGTTTAGGGGTTTAGGGTTCAAAACCCCAAATAAACCCTAAAGGTTGAAACCCCCAACCTTAAACCCTACACCTGGAAACGTAAACCCTTAACCTCACACCCTAAACCTTAAACTCTAAACCTTAAAGCCCTAAACCTTAAAACCTTAAGCCTTAAACCCAAATCTTTAGGATTTTTTTTTAGGTCTGCGGGTCGATCTCACACCAGAATCGACGGAGACTTGCTCTCTGCAACCGGAATCTCCAAAGAGAAGTTCCTGGGTGCTTCGAGTGTCAGGGATGAGGGAGGAGGAAGCTTTCCAGCGGTCAGGGCTTAGGGTTTAGGGTTTAGGGTTTAGGGTTTAGGGTTTAGGGTTCAGGGTTTAGGGTTTAGGGTTCAGGGTTTAAGGCTCCTTTAGGGTTTAGGGTTTAGGGTTTGGGGATTTAAATTTAAGGTGTTGATAAAGCCTGAAGAGAAGTTGGCCCCAAGCCCCAAACTCTGAGCCTAGGGGAGACCGCAGACGTTTACGACTACACAAAAGCTGAGCCGAGTCAGACCCAGAAAACACAGAAACACATAACCCTGGAACAGATAGGGTCACATCAGTACAGCAGCTAGTGCCTCGGGTTTGCGTAGGCTCAGGGCCTTTGGTCGAAATGAGTTTAGAGATGATTGCAAGTTTTTAGTCCAGGGAATGGAAACTTCGTAATGACGCGCGTAGGGGTTGCAGCAACGCCAAGGCAAAACTCCGAAACCCCAACATTGCACACTCATGTAACCCGTAAGCCTTCAACCGTGGACCTAGAACAGATTTGTAAAAGAACAGTGCAGTCCGTGAAACGTCAGCCCTAAACACCGCGAGACCATAAAACAACTGAAAGAGTAGGTCTCGTAAATTTAACCCACAAGCCGAGACCTTCATACACAAAAACCCTATACCTCCACCTTCATTCCGACACGCTGACCTCAAAAACCCGGACCGAACCGCCCAACACTGAACATAAGTCGAGAAAGGCATCTCTGAGTAGTGGAAGTCAATCGTCAGGGCTTCCTGCAAAGCGATTTTTCGAATAGCAGTTCTAGGTATGTTAAAACAGGGCTGAGCTGTGTCATTTCTTAGGTCTTACAGATTTAGGTCCGGCCGGGGCTTTGGGGTGGAAGGATGCGACAGGATGTGAGTTTTCGACTTAGCGTTGCGGGGGTTCCGTGGTTTCAGATTTCGAGTTGGGTGTTGGGTGAGAGGGCTCGGGGTTCGGATATTTCCAGCTTTTTACCGTTTTGAGTCTTCGCGCACGAGTGCAGCATCCATGGGATGTCGGAGTCTATCAATAACTCCATGGAGTTTACTGTTCAAGCTGGTATATGTGTACTTCACAGTCTTGTGCTGCATGTTCAGTGATTATGCTTCGGTATGTAGCATATAACCCGCCATCAGACTGTTTACGTTAACTGCTTGTCCGCTCTAAGTCACTCCTTCACAGACCCAGAGCGCGAACCTCGCATGCATCTCTGTGCCTCGGAGTTGGCCGGCTCATAAAGCGCGGAGTACATGTTCCTTGGTACGACGGAAACTTCTTCCTAGAGCCTCGTTGTCATGATTCATTGTCTACCTTTGAACTCAAAGCTCAAGCAATCTGTCCAAGAGACAGAGCCAGGCCGATGCCACCCATACCTGGGCACCGGGATAGGACTCACCAACGTTGTTTGCCTTCGAAGCTCCCAGTGGCTGATGCAGCTCAGAAACCGAGACCTTTCATGCTACAGATGTACGTGCAATTCTCGTCGGTACTTTCTTAGATTCAACTTCGGGTTGCAGTGCTCATGGCGGCGCATCTTTTCAAGCATGGCGGATGCTCCAACACTCCAAGGCCACAGGCTGTTGGTGGAATGAGCCGCTCGACCCCCAAGCGGATCTCATCCCTCCCTAGCTCAAGGTGAACCTCCGAGCATCACGCTCCGGCTGGTCTTTTGCAGCCGGCAGCAAAGTGTCATCGAAATGATATGTGTATGAACTGCTCTACCATCGAATCTTCCAACACTAGCACTAAAGAGCTCTGCTTTTCGGTTCGATGAGACCTGGCAAGTATTACATGTCTCACCATCCGGGCCACCTCTAACTCACAAAAACGGCTCGGACAAGTCAAGGCTAGCGCAAGCATCAATGCACGGTAACATGTAATTAGCATGGTTTGGTTCACAAGCTGGTCTCAACAAAGCCGGGAAGTCAATACACTCACGATCAATTAATGCAACAATCATTCCTACCGAGCTCAATCTAGGAAGATCCCCCTCGTCACTGCTTGAACTTGCTGCCGGCAGAACGGGCACGGCTGGCCTTGGAGCAGTTGTTGGCATCCACTGCAGAGAGCATGGCCACACGGAGCCAGTGCCACGAGAGGGCGGTCCTCATGACAAATGCCACAAGGGCCGACGAAGCCGTCCACAGGACCCAGGCAAGCTTCGGCTTCGGCGGGCAGGTCCCAGGATGCACTTATCTGCAGACACTGGCACCGGTGACCTGCCCACATAGCCGCACAAAGCTCTATGTCCAAGCGTCGAAATCCGTGGTTCTGCAATGCCTGCAACAAGGCCAGGCGGAACGTCTCTGTCTCGCGCTGGCCCCCCAGAGAAGGCATGCTCCCAAGTGGCCCACAGCTGTACATGGCGCTGTACCCTCCGCCCTCACTGGCCACGTTACACTCTGCCTCGAACTTCTGCACTTGCTTGCTGACCCAGTCCCGAACGATCTTCTGCCTGGAAGCCCCGGCCTTCTGCTGCATGGCATGTGCGAAGGCCATGGTGTGGCAGACTGCTTCGAGAGGCCAAAAGGAACAACGTGCACGGCCGAGCGCAAGCACTTCGCAGGTGCTGTTCTCTCGAGCCCGGCACGACAGCCACACGAGAATCCACCCTCCTAGGCTCATTTCACGGAACAATTAAATCATACAGCAACCTTGGGAGAAACTTCATCAAATGTAAGGCTAAGCACTTTGGGGTTTGATTCTGCCCAATTTCGAGCCTCAGGCCCATTATGCACGTATTGGTCCCTGCATTTTCTTGACAATGTTGCAAGTCTACTTCTAACTTGAGCATGCGTTGCCAACTACTCCATTATGCATTGCTTGCTGTACTACAGGGGAGCCTCCAAGAACCGTCACTCGGCTGCTTTGCGCCAAGGGGCCGAGGCCCCCGAGATCTTCGCAGAGCGTCCGCAGGGTGATCTGGTAGGTCCCTGTTTGGCCGTTGGAGTGGAGGGGGGTTGGGGGTGAAACTGACCTTACGCGGTTTTTTACAGCGGAACCGTTTTGGTGCTGGTGAGTTCTTTTTGCTGCTAGCAGCTTTGTTTCGTCAGCACTGCACGGTACCCCGGCGATGCCGCCGTCGGTGCAGCTCAACCGCACCATTAGATAAAGTCAGCTCCTGGCGGTCAACTCAATATTCTATAATTTCAGCACAGGCTTTATAACACAAAGCAACCCGCCAAAACAAACCTTCAGCACTTTACGCTGGAATTGTTGAATTGCACAGACGGCAACCCACGAGCATCCGCTTCAAGCAACATCCCCTCAGCCCAAACACACTCCAAGCTGAAGCAGACTCCCTGCTTCAAGATACATGGAGCGTCGAAAGTTGGGCATTCATTGACTGAACGAGCTGTTGATCGAAGACCCATTGGCCTCGCTGCCCGGCGGTGCAGTTCCAGCAGGTAAGCGACCCGTGCGAGATCAGAGTACCTGCTCGTCGAGCTGCAAGTTTCAGCCGATGCTTGTCTCATGGGTTGTGCAGTATTTTGGGTTTCTGAAGTTTTGGATGAGGGCCTGCAGCATGAGCCTCGTGGGCCTTATGTGCGTGGCGAGGTCCTCTGAGCGAAGCGGTGCTTTCGGTCATGGGACGTGGGCTCTCAAGGGCAGTTTTGGTGCGGTTGTGGTTTCTTGCCTGACGGCCTTCCGACTTCGAGGTCGTGGCTTAAAGGCGAAGCGGGTGAGACGATCGTGACGCCATCAACATGGGTGCTGCATGAGCTGATGAAGCCACATACAGGTCTGGTGTCTTAAACTCCCCTCATTGCGACTCAACAAAAGGCCTTTGACCCAAGAGCGTCAGCCTCCCATCCCGCATCTCGGACGTTGGACACTACAGCTGGCGCACCGACTTTGGTGATGCGGCTCACACCCATGAGGTAGGCCACTACCTGCAAAAGACTCAAACTTGGGTCGAAGATGTGGGGCCTATTACAGGAACGAAGGGTGCACTAGCCCTGCGCCGAGATTCCATTATTGCAATTGCAAGCTTCATCGGGACCAGGTTAAGGCATCAGGATGTCAGGATTCATGAAACACACGCCGAGTGCCCCCTGCGGGCCATGAAGATGCGCCCACGAGAACCTAGAGTTGTTTCTAGGTTCCTAGGCCTCAGATTAAGGCTTCGAGTGAGCTGGAGAGGTGCACCGATTGTGCGAGCAAACACCTCGCCATGGCATCTTTCACTGGGAACCATGCGAAACCCAGAGACTCCAATACCCCTTAATTAAGGAATATAACTTAAATTATAGTAGGTTCCCTAGTAAGATTTAAGGTGTATTCCTTCATTAAGGGGTATTGGAGTCTCTGGGAACATCCTGCATGTCTTTCACTTCAGTATGGGTAACAAGTGTAGCCGAAAAGAAGCAACGGGCACCATCCTATGCCTCCAAACGCTACCAGGCCTGCCACTTGGCGTGACTTGGCGTCATGTCCAAATTCAGCAACGGAGTGCCGCACAGGCGCCTGGGCTATTGTCTGAGCTGGCTAAGCTTTCAGACGTGAGTATCCGCAAGCAGAGCACGACACTGATTGCTCAGATCCCCTGAGGCTTGAATTCTGAAATGTGCAGGGGTACATGCATGTCAGTGTGGTGCCAACAAGGACGCTGCAAAACGCACCCGAGCTCACTGAGTTCCTCAGCCTGAGTCTTATCCCTATTGAGTGAGCCATCTGAGCCCAGTGTTCAACGCTGCAACCATGCCTTTGTCTACGGGGTCCAATTCCGACGGCTGCAGTGAGGGGCTAAATGCGGGAGCTGGCGTTGCTCCAGAGCTGAGGACTGGGCGGGCAGCGCGCGAAGATCGGCATTTCGTTTGTAATCCCACGACATCCAAGAAAGTTGAACTTCAAGTACAGAAGCCGGTACAGTTGATCACTTTAGAACTACTCCCTTGACACCAGAGGAGCACTCGTGACGAACTCTTTACACCAAGAACTGAATCGTGACCAGGATGCTCCGTGTCGACCTGCTTGTAGAACCAGATGGCGTGCTTCCTGCAACGGCTTCAATCTGCAGCGTTTGCCATAATTAGTTTAGGGTTTCAGGTTTTGAAGTTCAGGGCTCAGTGCTCTTTCTTTTACCTCCTATGTCAGACTCCATCGTCCCAGAAGGAAGGCCTGCCCGCTCTCAGAAGGCGAGATAGAATCTTGAAGTCATTCTCCGTCAGGACCATAGGGCAGGAAGAGTCCCAAACTTCCCAAGCCCCAAACTTCAAGATCCCCAGCCCTAAACCCTAAACTCAGCTTAAAAGCCTTAATCGCGTTGTTTTGCATCGATCCGGGCAACGGAACGCTGCACGCAAACGGCCGTGGTCACCGCCAAAATCCCCAACATCACGTGGGAGTCCCAAACCTCACGCTGTGCAAACGCCCATAACCTCAGGCCCTGGTCCTCGAATGCCCGACACTTGGAACCCAGACACCCTGACTTCCTCTGTGCGAAAAAAATCTTGCGACCTCGACCTGACCCCCACAGCTCGAAGCGCCCCAAAATGGCGTAGCCATTCATGAACTTGCCTTGCCCTCAAGGGCCTTAAGCCCGAAAAGCAAGAAGCCCGAAACTTCTGGAGCCCTGAGAGTGGGACCCCCAAAGACCTAGAGCTCCTAAGCCTCAAAGACTCGACCAAACTCCGTAGTAAAACGACACCGAAGAAGGACATTTCAGAAGAATTCCTCTTGCAATACTACAACCAGTCTGCCCTGAGGGCGCCTGGAGCTCAGGAGAAGGTTGGACGTGATTCGGTGGTCAACGAAGACCTGCACCCCAGTTCGCTTGTTGTGCTATGGGACTTGCGGAATGAACTAGTCCAGGGAACACCGGAATTGTGTACTTTGCACCACGAAGTAAAAGCACGTCTAACTGCGGGCAAAAACTGCACGTCTAACAAAAGGCAAAGACTCTGCATATTGCCCAGAAGAGAACAGAACCAAGGCAAATGCGCAATAAACTAAACTAGTCACTGGTCAAATTTCTCAAGACCAACGTGCTTCAACAGACAAGGTTGGCAGGGTTCGGGGCGCATTGGGGTCAAGTCTTTTTGGAGACAGCGAGGCTTCACCCCTCAACCCCGGCCACTTCACTTCTGGCCGCATGCTCCTTCAGACACCTTCAAAAACTTAAAACCCTTCCTGCCAACCCTAAACCCGAAGACCCTACTACGGTTGCCCAATCTTCCGGGTTCGTTGTTTCCGGGGAGTCTGTCGAGAGCTTTGCATCCCTGTCCGGCCTGCATCAGTTCGCCGATCACCGGGAGTCCTCGCTTGGGAAATTTCGGATTTCGGCGATGGGGTTTTGCCGGGCTTTGGGGGCTTCTCTTGGGGGCTTCGGGGCTTCTCTTGGGATGGGTCCCAGCTTGGGGATCATGGCTCTGAGATCTTGGGCTCTTGAGGTCTCACAGTTCGCGGGCTCCGCAGGGAGCGTCGAAGTTCAATGCCCCTGAGTGCAGATTGAGCACAGAGAAGCCTTGTTCCAGAGCCTGGGACCAGTCCCAACAAGCGTCCTGGCTGTAAGAAGGCCTTGATTCTGGCTTTGGGGCTGAGGAAGAGCCATACAACGAGTACAAAGTCACGGTTTAGCTGGCGAGCATGGGCGCTGATGATGCCACGCAAGAAGAATGCTAAAGATTGATACTCCGAACTGCTGGCCTCAACCAGAGTTCTACGCACCATAAGTAAAGATGTTACATCAGGGATCTATTGCAAGCCCTAGCGTTTGAGGGATGCCCTCATTCTAACCTGGGTTCAGGGGATGCCTTGATCAAACTAATATAGGGGCCTTAATAATTAGCACAGGGTTTTGGGCCCATGTTACTATTGTTATAATAAGGAACCCCCACAATAGTATAAGCAATAATCTAGGCCCCTGCATTATCTTTGTTGTTGCTCCTCCATTGATCTAAACCCTAAACCCTAAACCCTAAACCGTGTTTTGTTGTTGCTCCTCCATTGATCAAGCTAGTACAGGGGCCTTAATTAGAAGAGGGGGGCCCATGATACTGTTGTTATAATAAGGAACCCTCAAAGCTTTGCTGTTGCTCCTCCGTTGATCCCGGTCATCTTGCCGAAGCTGATGCTCTCGAAGGCCGTGCTGGGAGCCTGGCTCTCGGACTTGCGTCCAAAGGCGGGTTTGATAAGTTGAGGGGTTTAGGGTTTAGGGTTTAGGATTTAGGGTTTAGGGTTTAGGGTTTAGCTTAGGGGTATGGGGGTATAGAGGTTAGACCTGAGGTTTAGGGTTCAGGGCCTAGGGTTCAGAGAGGTTTAGGGGCATGGGGGTATAGAGGCTAGACCTGAGGTTTAGGGTTCAGGGCTTCGGGTTCAGAGGGGCTTAGGGGTATGGGGGTATAGAGGTTAGACCTGAGGTTTAGGGTTCAGGGCTTAGGCTTCCCTAAACCCTAAACCCCAAACCTTAGGCTTAAGGGTTCAGGGTTTAAGGTTCAGGATTTCGGGCTAAAGCCTTTGGGACTCACGAGACGGCTGCAGTCCATGAAAGCACTCGGGTCAAGTCGAATCGCCTCATATAGAAGCCGAAATACTTACCGATACTTTCTCTTTTTTTTTGGGGGGGGGTCCTATCATAGTTATAGTATACCCCGAAACCCTGTTCTGATTTTTAACGCGTCTACAGAATCCTTGAACGCGCGTCACGCTACGCTTCACTGCTCCACTGGCCCTGAACCTTGTATACGACCTCCTCTCCCTAACCCTGAAGCTCTCGCAAAATCATCCCTAAACTCCCAACACCCAGAACTTCTCAACCAAGTATCGAAACCCCTACAGCTCCAAAATCGTTTGCATAAACCATAAAACCCAAACCGTAAAATTTGCAGCCCCTGATTCCTGCAATCCCAAAACATACCTCTATATGGTCGAATCCTAATAGAACCTAACCATCGAACCCGAGGTCCCCAGACCCTAGCAGTCCTTAGACCCAACCTGGGACTCTAATTACCTACAGTTTTATGGGTTCTACCTACTAATTAAAGGGTAATGGCTGCTAAACTGTAGGTAAAGAGAATTACAGGAACACCCTGAAGTCCCTAAACCGTCTCAGAATCTTCACGGAAGCATCTAGCCACACCCTCTCGGATCCCCAAAGTCTCTAGACCCCCTACATAAGCTGCCATCTTCAAACGTTGAGGGCTTACTCTTTAGGGTTTCGGGTTTAGGGT